CAGGCAGTTCCGTCATTGTTTGTCTCTAGGCTTACAGGAGAACCGCATCTAGCGGAGCGCATGGTTGTTCTGCCGAATTTGCTAGATGAAATGAGGCTTTGTTTGCCATTTGCCATTGGGGACAACTTAACTAATAGCTCAGAGTTAAAATCTTACCTAGCTCTGATTTAAAGGAACACAGGGTTTTAGCTTGCACTACACTAACAGGAAGACTATTCCATACTCTAACTGCACGCTGTGTAAAGAAGTGCTTCCTCAAATCCAGTTTAAAATGTTCTCCTGCTAATTTCCTCCTTTGGCCACAAGTTCTTGTATTTGAACTAATATTGAAGTAACTATTTGGTTGAACAGCATCCAGACCTGTTAGAATCTTATATACCTGGATCATGTCCCCCATTAGATTACTTTGCTCGACAGAATCAGCTCAGCTAACCTCTCCTCATAAGACATTCCTCTAAGACCAGGAATCATTCTTGTAGCCCAACGTTGAACCCTTTCTAAGGCAGCAATGTCCTTTTTAATGTAAGATGACCAAGCCTGCGCACAATCTTCAAGCTGGGCTCTTACCAAGGAATTCTATAATCTAAAGATCACCTCCCTTGACTTAATCTCCACACACCTAGAGATGTAACCGTACATCTGATTTTTAAATTGCTTCCCCACACTTGCAAGAGTGGGACATAGAAGCATCAACATACACACCAAGATATGTCTCATAATCAGCTTCCATTATTTCAGTGGAACCCATAAAATATCTATTCTTCATATCTCTGCTCCCTGCATGGATTACCTTACATTTGTCTACATCAAATTTCATTAGCCAGCTATCAGCCCAGTCACTAATTAAATCAAGATCCCACTTTAGCCTCTGTGCTGCTGGTTCAATATCTGCTACACCACCCACCATGGTGTCGTCTGCAAATTTAACCAGTTTACTGTATATATTGTTGTCAATATTGTTAATGCAAATTAGGAATAACACTGGCCCTAAAATTGAACCCTGCAGTACCCCACTATGAACGCAGGCCCACTGTGACATTGTGCCTCTAATAACTACCCGCTGCTTCCAGTCTGTTAACCAGTTTTCAATCCAAGCTTGCTTCTTTTCACATGCTGTCTTTTAAGACACACACACACACAGACACACACACAAATTTACAGTTGAGAGTGAAGTTTGGGGTCAAAGCCCAATCAGCCATTTTTCCTGCACCCCTAGAGCATTTCAGAGGGTTACCTTCAGGTCGCAAGCATAGAGGCCTGAGCCACACACCACCATCCCCAGATTGAGATATTGGTTTTCCGCTGGACTCTGCCCAGTCCTCTCTCCCCAGTGCCTACCCTTGTCTGCCCTTGGCATTCCATTATTGCCTGTTTTGCCACGTCCTTCAAACAAACAGCACCCAAAACAAGCTCATTACACTTCCAGGGTGCCCCTTCTGCAGCGCTTTTGAGCGGTTCAAGGATTGTTTTCAAATCTGCTTGATGAAAGCGCACTCCAAGCTGCTTTAGAAATCAGCGGGGAGTGCTGCCTCATTTATTTCTTTATTTATTTCTCTTTCTGTGAGGTCTATTTTAGGCTCTGGTCTCCATGTACCCACACCAGTCCTCAGAGCGGGCCATCTGAAGTCCCGCTCCTGAAATCAGGTGTTCTTTGTTCTGCAGGGTGTGTTTGGGGCCGTGTGCGGCTCTGCAGGTTAGGGCACTGTGCCTGTCATCAGAAGGTTGTTGGTTTAAATCCCATGGTGGCCAGAGTGATGTCACCATTGGGCCACTGAGCAAGGCCCATAACTCCCTATTGCACCAGGGACTGGCTGCCCTTACTTTCACAAATATACATCACTTTGTATAAGAGTGTCCCCCAAATAACCGAAAATGTATTCCTATCACCAGAGTTTTAGTCAAAATGTTTATTTACAGATTATTTTGGCCCAGTCCTTGTTCAGATTTGTGCCCATCTGTTAAGTTCCGGAAGTTGTTCTGATTATTTCTGTATGAACATACAAGCCAATTTTCTCCGTGTCCTATAAAGGTTATTCTATCAGTAGACTTAAGTATGTCTGTATCTTTCCACTGAGCTGGTTTGTTTTCAAAACACACGGTATATAATCTTCTCTAGACGTATCATTAGACTCTGGACTGTCACGCCCGTCTCGGATCATGAGGTCACTGTGTTTGCCCTGAATCTTTATCAAGTCCGTATCATTGGCAGCCACACTGACAGTGTTGTCGCTATGGCGCCTATTAACCTTTCCTGATGCACTGAGGTATTAACACAATCTCTCCAAATTATGCTCTAACCTTATTTGAAGATTTAATTTATCTCCAGGTACTTTAAAGCTTAGTTATAGTTAAAACGCAATCTTTCCATCTCAGGAATATTTTATCTTTTGTAACATGAACCAAACACTCAGTCCTTTGTCATACTTAAAGGTATTTGAATATCTTGTTGAATCAGGTGCCGTTTATCCATTGTCCCCCAGTGAATACGGTTGTGAATGTCAGTTTTTTTGTCCTTTTCTTGAGCCTTGTCAAGGTACTAATAACTCAAACATCCCCCTCATATATGTTATAATGGAATAAGCCTTTTCCTGTGGTGGGTGGGCGCCCCATCCTGGGTTAGTCCCTGCGGACCCCCGATACCCTACATAGGACAAGCGGGTATATAAAATCGATAGATGGATGTTCATATATGGCCCAAAAAATGGAGTGTCCAAACTTTTGACTGGCACTGTATATGCACGTATATATAATGTGCATGTTTCTGTGAATATTCTATGTGATCTTTTATATATGGGATGATGCATCGCAGGCAGGGCACCTCGGGGTATGTGTGAGTCGGTTTGCCGTTGCTGTTGTTCCGATGACAGCTGCCCCCACTTGTCAAGTCCGAGTGGCTCCGGTGTCCGGGTGACAGGGTGTGACGGAGTGTGACAGGCAGCTGCGAGAGCCTCTGTTTGCCTGTGCCACGGGCCAGTCTGTCAGTGTGTGTGTGGATTAAGTTTATATTACATTGTGGGGACCAAATGTCCCCCACAATGTAATAAAAACCTCTTATTTTTATGCTGTGGGGACCAATGTTTCAAGTCCCCATAAGGGGAAACACTATTTTATAAAAATCTGTGACTGCAATAAAAAAAAACAAAAACACTTGTGTTTTTTTGGTTACTTATGGTTATGGTTAGGGCTGGGTAGGGGTTAGGGTTAGGGTTAGGGTTACGGCTGGGTTGGGGTTAAGGTTGTCATAGATAGCATTTTTCCCATAGAAATGAATGAGTGGTCCCCATAAAAATATGATTACACGACTGTGTGTGTGTGAGTGTGTGTGTGTGTGTTGGTCCTGCCTATTGCCTCCCTAACTGGGCCTTAACTCAGCCAACCCCCCCACCCCTGCCTTGGCCACACACTTGCCAAAAGCAGCTTCACTGAGGCTAATAAAATTAAACATCCCCTGCCTTTCGGAAAAGCCCTCATCTCGCCCCCGGTTCATAATATTACGTTTTAAGCAAAAACATTCTGACTGTAATTGGTACTGTGGTCGATCAGCGGTTTTGGACCATGGGAAAGAGTCTTAATTACGAGCAGGGTGGCACTTTTCACCCCTGGCTCGGTGGGGCTCGGAGCCCACAGCAGCCCTCCCTCTACCCTACACTGCTTCCCTTAATGGGCGACTGCCGTACACGTCTCAGTGCTGCGCGGTGACCCAGAGGCCCAGAGTATGAAGAAGAATTTAAATGCGACTGATTGAGCAAGGTTGCCTTAATTGCCTTTTCCATTTTCGGAAGTTGCGATTTCGCCCCGGTGCAGATCATGCGGTCGTGGTAATCGCACGATCTGTTTAGAGCACGAAAACGTGTGCCGTCAGTGCACGCCTCAGTGTCCCCTGAGTCTGCTCTGCTAAATTAGGTGGCTGAGATTTAAAGAACCTAAATAAAAAGATAAGAATGAGGTGAATATAAAATAAGTTGGCTAAAATATACCCTGCGGTTAAGGATTTATGGATCATGGATCAAAGATTTTTATTTGTCATTGTGCGACAATGTGGGATTATACAGGTACTGTGGAATTTAATAATATGTTGTATGGTAACACTTTACTTGAGGGGGCACAAATAATATTGTATTATGCTGTTACTTACGTACTAATTAACCACAAAATTAGTGTTACTTTTATATTGATCTCATGTTCGTTCATCATTAATGAATCATGACACGTCTTTTATATCAAGCAGTTACTACATTTGTGACTATATCTGTTAATTCTGTAAAGCTTTGTTAAATACTGAAGGAACTACTAAGGAACTATTGATGGAATGAGTCATGAGTAACACAAGTGAAATACTGATCTCATGTTTCTTCATCATTAATGAATCATGACATCTTTTATCTCAAGAAGCGATTATATTTGTTCACGATTTGTACTCCAGTAGCAACTGAGTTACTACTAATTGTTTGTGAGGCTTGCTAGAAGTCTTCCATATACTCATCTGTCCTCTCCTTTATCATGACAAATGATACACTGACAGGGAAAATGTGGCTGCCGTACCAGCATCCAACCGGTTCAACCCTCTACCCACTGGTTATTCTGCTGGTTCTCACTGGCAGAGACCGCTGGGCTTCTCGAATTCGGTAATCCCACCCACTGTAACCATCAATGCCTCATTTCCCCAATCACTGCAATCGAGTACTGCCCTGCCCCAATCCATTAGCCCCGTGCGGAGGAAGTTCCGCCCACCCTGGCCCTCCGGCATGCTCAGCACCTCGTCCCGCCTCTTAATAACCCGCTAACAGGCAAAGCAGGGGAACGGTTATAATTTGCCAAATTAGTCAAAGTAAGAGTCTGAGAAAATTAAGGTTAAATGGACTGAGGGCCTGTAGCTCTTAATGCTGTGTGAAGTGGGATGCCCATTGCTGTGGCCCATCAACTTTTTCCCTCTTTTATATGAGGGCTTCTCTCCGGCACCGATCCAAGGTACAGCCCTGGCTGATTAGGACCTTACTCACGTCAAGAGGCTCCCCTGTCCTTCTTTCAGTCATTTATGTGTCCTTGTCTCACACCGGTTGTTCATCGTTCATTGATTTCAAGACGGTTTGTCTCTGTGACCCTGCAGATCAAGGGTACAACGATTAAGGGCCGGCTTCCTGTAGACTGAACGTTTCTCAACGTCATATAATGTGAGTCCATGCATGTGCTGTTTTTTTTTTTTTTTTTTTTTTGTGCGATGAAGCTAATTGAATTACTATCTGCCCCTGGCTTAACCCCATTAGCGATGCGACTCGAGGTTGCTGAGTTATTTCCTTATAGATTATCCAACAATAAATGTCGCTCCCCTCAGCTTGCAGAACTCGCTCTGTAGTTTAATGAGTCTATTAAGTGCCGCTTACGATCATATACGCCACAAAGCAGAAATGATCCCGGCCAGCTTTGTCACCTACAGTACAGTACCAGTTACATTTCTGGACTCACCTCACCTGCTTTTAATGATTTGTCTTGGTTTTAGCTATATTATTCACCATATAGTGAATGGCCTGCATGGGGACGATGATGTAATACTTGTCAAATATTGCACTGACAAAGAGAAGTTTTTTCTCAAATTTTACACTCTTCAAAACAGTCCCCTTTTGCTTCAATGACAGCATTGCAGACACTTGTCATTCTTTCAGCCAGCTTCCTTATGTAGCCACCAGGAACGCTTCTCCAACAGTCCTGAAGGAGTTTCCACAAGTTCTGGGCACACAATGGCTACCTTGCTTTTACTCTTTAATCCAACTCATCCCAATCCAGCTCTATAGGGTTTAGGTTGGCGGGATTGTTGGGGGCCAGGTCTTCGGTCACGGCACTCCGTCTCTTCCCTCTATGTCAAGATAGCACTTCCTGCATAACCTGGAGGTGTGCTTAGGTGCGCTATCTTGTTGAATAGCAAATGATTTTCAGGAGGTGTGTCCAGATCTTTTACTGGTGCTGCATTTCACCTTGTGCCACAAAAGTCCCATGTGATGTGACACTTATGAAGGCTGACCATCATTCGTCGGTGTAATGGCACCTCTCTACAGTAAATGTAAGACTTTAAATCGGCTTTGATTCACAGGAAAGTGGCTGTTCCCACATCTCTTGTTTTGAAATTGCTCAGCTTTTACTCCTTAATGCAAATCTTAAAGGTGTTCGATTGAAATTAAACAGCGTACAGACGGAGTGACTCAAAAAGGAAGATATTTCAAGGTCTCCACAGCGCCTGGTTTATTAAAATTTAGACCCACATTCACTTTTTAATCTCTCCTCCCTGTAATTATGCATGGAACCAGTATAAAGAGAGTTATTTATTTCTGGAGTAAGGCTGTTCTGTCATAAAAGCCCGGCTCCAGTTGTTTTTTTTTTTCTGGGTCAGGCGCTAGAGCAGGAAATCATGCTCATAAGGTGGCGATGCAGATTATACGGTCATTTTCTTTATTGCTTTAAATGGGTATTAGAGTGACTCACCGAGGGATTCTCGCCGGGCGTTCCGTCTTGCCTCGTCAAGAGGCGAGTCTGCCGGTGGAATTCGGGTTTTGGGGATAAACGGGGAGGATGGTGGCGTTCCTCAGAGCCGTAACCGATAAAGCCGCAAATCTGTTAATGCCCCGACGCTTCACCGTGTCGTGCCGTAACAGACTGATAATTGCGTTTGTCGGTAAGGGAAGAGGTGCCGCTAGTTATCTTTGGGAAATATTGCAGGTGCCATCTGGAAGAGTCCGGCCCGGCCTGGTTCCTGGCGCCCTCGCGCTGCCAGGCAGCGACCTGTCCTGTTCCGCTCGTTCAATTCACACTTGCGCGGATGAGCACATTAACACCCGGGCTAGCTCGCGCCGGCGCGGTCAGAAACACACGCCGCCAGTGGGCGTGTCATGCTGTGGGCCGTGCTGCGGGCCATTATGCTTTCAAATCCATGTTACGGGTTTCTCTTCCATCAATAGTTTTTAAAAATACATTTTTTTAAAAAGACTGTTTTAAAAAGGCTAAGTTTGAAAAATGTTGGTGATGGTCATTCTCCATCCCAATTAGACTGCTGGTGAAAGATGTCTGAGCCTTGTCTCTGAAGGGCAAAGAGGCGGTCAGACAATGGTTTGGATCGCAGCATGATCTAAGGAGGGGTTGGGGTGGGTGGTGGGGGGCGGTAGGGACAATGCCCTCTAGATTACCCTTGTAACCTCTCCTGGAAGTGTTCAGCCAATCACAAAGACTTATTATCTTATCGACCAATTAGATTAATTGTCATTGACCAATTTAGTCAATTTAGTCTATGATAAAAAAACAATAAAACAATAACAGTACTTTTTCCTGGAATGACGAAGTACTAGATGATAAGGAGCTGATGCCCAACCAAAGTCTGAAAGTGCTTGGCTGTATGAAGGCCTACAGAAGATGCCGTGCTAAAGAGGCTAGACTGTGTCCATGTCTAGCAAAGCAATCAGCTTTAGTAATCAGCTTCTGTTTACCAGATCGCCACATGGATAAACACAGGCCTAGGAGCAAAGGGGGTACTGGAGTAGAGCTGGCTGCTGTACTGGCTCCCTCTGCAGGACAGTCAGGGGCATTGCCCGTGGAATCTGCCAGCAAACTTAATTAGAACTCCAAAGCCTGAACCACTGCTGTTCACATAGAGTAAGATTCCCACCAACAAACGAGTTGGCGCCTCCTTTTTCGCTTTCTGGGTCCTGCAACATTAATTGTTCTGGGCATGAAGATACGATCTCAGCATCAGTCAAAAGTTTGTACGTCAATTCATGTTGACGTTCAAGATAAAGTGTCTAGAAGAGGTTCGTTTCAGGGCAAGCTTGACATAATTACATTTTCATCTGGAGGGATAAAGGGAGGTAAAATTGTAAATAATAGAGTCTCAAGGTGATGACTTTCCCAAACCCTGCAGGCTGTAAACAGAATGCCACTCTACTTCCGTCAAGCTGAGTACGGTTGGGTGTATGAAATTAGTCAAGGCTTGTACACATTCTGACAATCCAATATTCTTCTTAATGCAGTACAGTGTTAGTGTCTGGAAAGTCTCATTCGGTTACCGCTGATCAAGATGTCCTGTGTGACAGTGCAGCCCGAGCGTGTTTGGGCTGAGAGACTCGGAGTCGATATCACGCCGCGGCCTGCGTGCTTATTCCCGGCTCAGACTCACAATCATCTTTGGCCCAAGGGAAGTGACAGTGGAGGCTGCATTGGGTGGCGTGAGAGGCGTGATGCTCCGGGAGGGTTGTGTAATATCTCCCTGCTGGATGTGGAGAAGAAGAGCTGGTAGGAGGACAGCTCTTCTTCCCGCTCTCTCTGTTTCTCTCAGTGCTTTCCACACACGTCGGTCATGATCGGTCAATCTGGCGCTTCACTGTAGGGTTTCATTCCCTTAACAAGGGCGTAAATTTGGGTATGAATGGTAGGGACGTGTCCCTACCAATATTGCGGGAGTGCCATGTGTGTTTTAAGGGGGCGGGGGGTTCGGGGCTGATTTGGTTCCTACTAATATTGCCACTAAATCTACGCCCTTGGTCCTGGATGTGTTTGAAAGTCAAAAGTCCCTCAAAAAATCAGCAGTCCAAACTCTGACCACTTCTCGACGTTCCTAGATGACCGTTGATACTTACTTCTGTAGTTCCTTGCACCATACTGGGTGTTTTCGTTGAATGTAGTTTCATGATATTGAACATCCTGGAATAAAACGACACAAGATGCTGTTACCAGCCCCAAAGTAGTCTGACCAAAATAAAATGTAAATCGACCTTCCACACCTGTGTTCGCGTATAGCTACATCTTAACATCTTTTAACTCAGATTGCGGCAACTTGCATCACTGCGTCCAACGTACAGGCTCCAAAGTGGGGCGAGTGCTGCAGGTAATGCGCTGGAAGGCTCTGGCGGCACATGCGGTGGCTGCGTTGGGAGTTGCGGACCAGTCGCACTCGGTGCAGCGTGCAGCTCCTCGGTCTGAAGCCAACGCTGACTTAATGCAGTTATTAAAGCATGTAATGCCTTTGAAAATTCACACCTGGGGCCTTTTTACGGTTGACGGTGCCGCTCTTCATCAGCTGCTGTAATTATTCCCAGCTGCCTGCGGAGGGGGCTGTGGGGGGGGGGGTTACCTCCCCCTCGTAGATGCCAAACCCCATTTCTCTGTGGAGAAGCCGCTTGATTGAAACGTCAGGAGCGGCGAGCGTGTGGCCCGGAGAAGTGCCTCTGCTCGCTTGCAGCCCGGACGGCCCTGATTGGCTTTAATATGGCGGCGTAATGAAGTCGCCGCGTGCGAGCTCCCTGATAACGAGACAGACGTCGCACAGTCCCACCCGTGTGCCTCCCTCCCATCAACTTCAGTACCACACGGCCCTTTGGCGTGATCCTTCTTCCTACGTCTACATGACGAACTTTAGCGATAGCGACGACTGCTCTGACATGTAGGTATTGGCCATGAAGTTGCTGTATGTTTTAGCATCGTTATTATCTAGCCATGAAAGTGACCCCAGAGGCCAGTTGCTTAGCAATGGTTCTGTCTTATTAGTGAGCAAAATGGAGAATTCCTGGAGGGCGGTTTCTGGAGTACGGTTAACTGTTAGCCAGCTAAATGTTGTAGACTCAGCAGGTATGACAACTCTCTGGTAAGGATTCGGAAAGTCCACTGAAGGTCCGTGTTGATGTACTCTTTCTCCTGACTTGCTGTCCACTGGACGTTTGCCAACTCTGGGGCGACATGAGGAGTGTGTGTAAATAATATCGTAACAATATCTCCAGAGACTAATCAGAGCCAAACGTTTGCGGGAATTATGGGAGATCGAAAGACAATTTTTCCCAAAAGTACAGGCTTTACATTCATACTAGATCATTAAAACCCAACACAGGTTACGATGTCTAGAGAAGCATAATCTTGATTGGGGTGGAATAACACCAATCAGTTTTCTGTAGTACTTTGACAGGATATTAGTTTTTGATGGGAATAGAATGATTTGAGGAACAACTTCTGTGGTGGGATTTAATGAAAACCTTCCTGATCATCTGACAACGGTTCCGTACAAATCTATGGCCTTATTCTACCCCCCGGGGCAGCCAGAGGACTGAATATTAGTATTATAAAAACAGCACATTGCTCTACCCCTGGTCACAAAATGAGAATTATAAGAATAATGGATTCTGCATCTGTCACATGCACATGGAGTTCCGCAGTACACCACCTACCCAGAGGGTCAGAGCAGAGGATTACAAATATGTGACAAAAACAGTTTTGTTATCTTATGCAGATGGGATTGCCAGCTGTGGAGCTGCTTAACAACAACATGCTGGTGTTTCCGAATTACATGTAATTCCCTAAGGCAATGTTTCCCAATCCAGTCCTTGGGGACCAGCAGACTGTCCATGTTTTTGCTCCCTCCCAGTTTCCTACTGGGAGGCAAGTAGCTGGGAGGGAGGAAAAACATGGACCGTCTGTGGGTCCCCCGTGGACCAGATTGGGGAAGACTGCCCTAAGGTAACGAGCAGGGCATTCTGGGAGCCAGGGGAGGTGAGGATTTGAGCACAGGCTGCTGATTGGACAAAGAGGGAAAATGAACTGCAAACTCCAACCCCAGGCTCCCAGGAAAGCCACGGGAAGCTGGCACACCTCACAATTCTTCGGCCGGTGTGATCGAACCGGGAGTCGCCCGGGTATCGCCCTGGATGAATCACGGCCACAGTGCACCTGCCCTCTGCCAACGGTGCCCTCAGAGGCATTATTTATAGAACAGCTCTGAGCATCACTGGGCTTCTCCACTGCAGTTAGAACATTGTCGCTGCTCCTATTGGTTAGCTGGCTGCCTCGTTCGTCCTCCACACCCCCTGCTGAGTTAAGGGTCATGTGACATCCGTGTCAACTCACTGTCATGCTCACCGGTTAATATGTGGCGTAAATCATAGCTGTTTATGGGCGGAGCCGCTTCCCGCAAGCCCATTCTGTGCACGTGTGCAGTGGCAGGTGGAGCTGAGCGGGGGGGGTGTGCGGGTGGGGGGGGTCAAAGCAGTGTCATCTGACAGGCTGCTTGTTCTTCGGTGTCTAATTCAGGGATACAAGCCTGTTACAGCATTGAATACGATCCGTATTCCCCCAGTGACATGTCAACAAGCCAGGCATATTGTGTCACGTGTTTGGGGACTGAGGATAAATCTGAAATTTGCTCAGAGACATACTTTGGAGCCCCCACAACCCCCTGCCCCATCTGATTGGCTACTCCACGACCACCTGACCATGGAATCAGCCAGGTCAGGATTGGGCTGACACTGAAGCAGGAACTGAAATTGAGGAGGAGCAATCGATACAGTAAACGCAGCGTGGTGCCACAGGCGCAAATATGACATGGGAAATGGCTGCCTGCATGCGGATCTCGATGCGATGGCATGGGTTGCATGCATGCATCTCATGCGAAAGGCTCTTTCGCAAAACAGAGCTGTATGTGCGTGTGTGGCAGATGTGCGCCGATTCGTTATGCATTTTCCTGTTGCCATAGCGAGCCTCGTCCTGACACCCATTAATTCCCCTGTCGCATTTATCCCCATAAAGTCTTGCTCAAAACGGATATTTTATTGTTTGTTTGTATTTCACATTTAAAACTATACAGTATACGTATATACAGTACTGTGCAAAAGTCTTAGGCAGTCCAAAGAAATGTTTAAAGCTGTTTATCTGGGTAGCAAGTGTACTTTGACTTAGAACAAAAACACAATTTAACAATAGAACTTGTGCAAATTAAGAGTAATACAATAAAAAC